GATTTCTTTTGAAACGTAGGAAATTGAGAACATTTCAACTCCTTCCAAGATGCCCGCTGCTCCTGAGTGAAAACTTGCTGGGTTGCTGTGATATTTGTAGTTAAGTCATCCAAACGGGTGGACATCATTGCTTCCATATCTTTCAAAAGCTTGGCACTGCTTTCGCCAACTGACTTGGCAACCTGGTCTTGGATTAGCGCGGCAATATTCACGGTTTGTTGGGACGCCATGATAAAAAAATATATTTATGCACGACTGAACTGTGGCTAGTCCAGCATAGAATAATTGCTCACCGCAGACTTCTGCTTTTATACGTACAAATCACGTGATTAACATAAAGCCAACGATTGGCTGTTATCATCATGTGAAGACAAATAGTTTCCCGCTATACTGGCGAACCGCGGGAAACTTTATTTCGTATTTATGTATATCAAAAGGGATAGAGCCAGTAATGAAATAAGATATTTTAGTCAAACTTTTTTTCTCGATAATCTTTGCAAATTCGTATTCATGAATATTGTCGGTAACACATTTTTTGTGTCTAGGTAAATTTTGTAACTCATGCACTGGAGTAGACATGCCGTCACGTAATTATGGCAACCATTTAAAGATTGTGCTTCGTCAGTTAGCCCTGAAATGATACTAATAGCGATTTCTAATATCTATGGATGCTGACATCAACACTTTGTTCGATTCTAGGTATTTTATAGATTTGTATTTGATGATTCGAAATTTGCCTGTTCACTACGACGTTGCTCAAGTTTTATATGTACTTTTGCACTCTAGTATACCTGGAAGGTATAAACAGCGTAATAAAGTTCGGGAACAATACTGAATTGCCGATATTATTATTCTGAGTAACTGAATTAGAGTAACACCCGCAACACGAAATAACATATAATGTCAAGTAAATTGGTTGAAACTCAGTTTTTCCAAGGAGAGGCAGGGCAACCTGATTAATATGTGCACAAATAAATAAGACAATTTTAACCTGTGTGCGTATGAAATTTGTATCCAAACATGAACCATAGCAACATTTAACGAGTGAGATACTTTGATTTCTGTCGGAGTTTTTGTGGCGGGGGGAAGGGGAAGGCTCATTTTAATGTCAAGTGGTATGTTTTGAATTATTTATGAGCAAATGGCAAAACGTACAATACATCTTTTGTATTTCGTTAAGCGTCGTGCCCATCAATGCAACCGTTTGCTGAATTTTTCGAGTTTATCATACTTTCATGGTATTCATGCGATTTAAAGAGACTGGCCAAAAGAGTGACGTTATGAGAGTGACCTCCACTCGTTATTATGATACCTGGTTGCCGATTCATGGGAAAGTAGTCACGGGGTATTCATTGGACTTAGTAATCGCAAGGAGTTAGTATTCAGAATTGTTGACGCCACGGTGCATGCGCAGTTGTTTTGTTGACGCAAAGGAAAATGTCGTCTGCTGCAGAGATGACCGCGGTTGAATCGATGTTTTAAATTGCCTAGCATCTTAAATTTTCAATATTCGTTTACAATTTATTTTCATTTTTCCAACAAAAATGCAACCTGCAACAAGTCAAAACGGACGACATGTCACAAATCAATGTAGCCGCCGATGAATTCATTTTAGAAAGTTTCCGATGGCATAACACGTATTGTACCATTGGGCCCGTGAACTTATATAATTAATAATGTTTTTTATCGACACTTTAATGCTGTTAAAATCAACATCTTGTAAAATAAATTATTAAATAACACAATAACTGAATGTAACGCTCATATCTAATTATGCTACAGGCGGCAGAAACACATGGGATTCGAGAGCGCCATCACGGTAAGCGCGTGGTAGCAGACGTGCTATCGACCACGCAACTCTCACTGTCCCCAACGACTAAATTGTAACTAACTAACTGAGCTATATCTCAGACATCACAAACTGCGTATAAAGTCATGTATTCATAGATCTAAATAGACCTACTAAGGTATGACTGTCATCGGGGGACATTTCTGTTCAGCAGTTCCACAAAATTGCAATTTGCTGAAGCGCTACCAGCTTAAAAGAATAAGTGCATTCCGGTCAATGGGCGGCGCCATTTTGTTTGTTTGTTTGTTTCAAAATTATACAAAGCAAAACAGCCCCTAAAAGCCATAGCATCTTCAGAAAATTGTACAATCGTTTTCTGACAACGGACAGAGAATAGTTCAATTCCTAATAGTGTTTTTCAAGTCATTTTGATCTGCGGTGACAAACAAATCGTATGTGGCGCCATCATGAACCCCGCCCAACTCACGCTTGTTAAACTAATAACTCGACTTTCTCAATTCACGCGCTTTGACGTTCTATAGTTACATCAGTTTTATTTTCAGTAAATCAATAAACAACGTTAATCGGCTGCAGTTGCCGCTTCTCATTCATGGGTGGAAATGTGACTATTATTACATGCCTTCAACCGCCCGCCAATCAACTTGAAACACACAGGATAGGAACATCCGGGGCACACAGTGAGCCATGTGCGGATCGTCGTCAACAGCAACAGAGTCCAATGATCAAAGTTATTCATGGAATCTGTCGTTTGCTTGGAGAAAATTCATAAAATAAAACGGACAATCATGCTGATGTTAATATTCAATGTTATTAGCAACCACACACAAATCCAATTTTACAACAATACATGCAAAAACAACTCACGCATGTTAAATCACGCATATTCAGTCGTACGCTCAGGCTAGCTCAGAATGTCTTCGAGGCGCCTCAATTCTTCGGTATTCCAAGTTGGCCACTCGGTACAGCGATGTACATCACGTTCGGTGCTTTTAACGGTACTTTGCTTCTGGTGTGCTTTTATAAAACCGTCCACTTCGTCTGGTACTTCATTTTCTGGTGATGGTCCAAGAATTTCATCAAGTTGGCCCTGTCCTATCGGCTGCAACCACTGCATAATATCCATTTCATCTGCTTGCTTAAACATATCCATCCACAGTGTCAAACTTATCGATTAACGCGATTGCATGCAAAACTTTGTTACTGCTCATGAAAAATGTACCTTTTTACCAATAAGAATTACCTTTAAACATTAAAATATAAACCATGTATTCTTTATGTTATTAAAGGCATGTAATAAAAATATTACAGCCTCCTAACGCCGGGCAAATGATCACCTACGCTCGGACACAAACGCCCATATTCGGGCAATAATATATACATTTCAATCATTTGAATCTCTATTTGTTCCATCAACAGTATCAAACCGAATCCACACCGATTGTCCTTGGACATTCGTTATATTGCAATTCATCCTAAATGAATTCTGAGCGTCATGGTAGTGACAGTTATACGTGTCTGTGTGCAGTTTTAGCTGTATAGCAGTATTGAATATGAATAACATTGAGAACGAGATAATACTGTTATCATTTATTATAATCGTACATAATTTACTAACTTTCATTCAATTAAAACACGAAATTTAATATTATAGCAGATACGAGTGTATTTTGATAAATTATACTACTATCAAAAAATATACACCCATACTTAGAAGTATCTCATGATCAATGTTGACATTTGACCTGCAAATAATTTTCTAATGAATATAAATTTACTATAGACCCAATCTGATTAAAATCTGATGTAGCGTACGGGCTTTAATTATTTTGGCTATAAACTTATTTTAATTTGTTATTACTTTTGTTATTAATGCCTTTTTATTTTATTATTTTACTTTTGTATTTTTTTTTTAATTCTGCCCTACCTACATCTGATCCGACGCCTATGTAAGTCCCGTTCAAATCTCGCGTAAATAACAGCCAATCACAGCCCCCCCCCCTTTATACAGGCTGTTGGTCGCTTACTTTTCAGTGTAGCGATACTCTACGGGCAATCTTTCTGTACATTATATTTTGCCCTCTTGAATAAAGCATTAATAGAAAATTGCGAGTATATTTTTTATTTACAAAAGAAATTCCACAGCATTTTACAATTTTTGTCATTACATTGAATATTTTTTTCACTTCCAACAAATGTGTACACTTCTATACATCTTCGCCAGCCAAGGTTCGTTCATTCAGTCATCGCTTCAATTTTACATCAAAAACTGAGCATAATTATCTAGAATGAAAGCAAAAAAAATGAGTAAATCGTAATGATTAGAACACTGTAAACAGCTATAGTAAACAATGCAAACTGATTTTAAATTGTATAACGGTCACCGGCCCACGGCATCGACGCAGAAAATTGGAGCAAAAGAATATTTCCTGATCAATTGCGATGTGTTCCAAATAAGCAATATTTTATTCCAGTTCAAATCAGCTCAATTACTTTAATAAAGAGTTATTGTATAATGTACAAAATGTTGATACATTTTGATGAATATTTACAGCTACGGCTTCAATACCGTAGACGATTTTGTCCCGATCGTCAATAAAACATCACCCGGCTAGCGACTGGAAAAAGACACCGGTGTTCGGTCGAACCGGTGGAAACAAAATCGTCACTCCCAGAATAACTACGCAAAATAACGATCTAAACTCGAACCATTCGAGCCACAATATTAACATAAAAATGACTTTCGTTGCATTTGACGATGAGAAACTTAACGAAAACCGTGTTATTCTCGGTCGCTAACGTCGGTGTAATCCGCCATTTTATTTGAGTGTGTTTGTCACCTGACTCTGCCCGGTGACGTCATCATGTGCGCTATAGTAGGAGGTCTGTGATTCGTTGACTAAAATCGTCGATAGTGGGTCTCGTTGAAATCTCGTTACATAAGCATCGGGTCAGATGTATGTAGGGCGGAATTAAAAAAAAACACAAAATTAAAATCAAAGTAAAAATTAATAAAATAAAAAGGCATTAATAACAAAAGTAATAAAAAATAAAATTAAAATAAGTTTATAGCCAAAATAATTAAAGCCCGTACATCAGATTTTAATCAGATTGCTATAGACCGTCATACTCGTATACGTTCTTCGCGGGTGCGGTATGTGTTCTTTCAGTCAAACAACTTATTGGCAATGTTATCGCAGCAGATCACAAGCCAGTGTTGATTAGCAAGATACATTTGTTATCACACATTCGCACGCTGGTTGGCAAATATGTAAATATATATATATATATATGACGTCATAGTGCGGCGGTCTAAAGATAAGGGAAACTTGCACCGACGCAGCTTTGTGACAGCAGGCCGTTCGCAGCGTCGTCATTGTTTTAATCCGTAGTTTCCTGCCACGTGAAGACACATCTTAAATA